CCACGGGAGCAAACCATCCCGCCCCAGAACACTGAAGAGCAGTTAAAACAGTAGATGTTGAATCAAGAAAGTGATTCCATGCAGAGTGTCTTAGGGAAGGTCATTGTGTCCAGGGAGAGCTTGCGTTGTGCTGGGGCCAGTTTTGCTACTTACCTCACTCTTATTCGGCACTCAGCCCCTTGAGTCAGCTACGACAGTGGAGGACGGTAGATACCCCGAATGCTTCATTTAGGTTTTTCCATTTCTAAGTTGGGGAGGCAGAAGGGAGTGAAATGTCCATTTGTCATGATGCTTCTCCCCCTCGGCTGTCGATGAGGAAGTACCAGGGAAAGTGCCAGTGCAGACCTGGCGGGAGGGGATTTGGAGGAAACCACAGTGGGGGGCAGTGGTGGGAGAGAAACCTACTGTCGGCCTAAGAGCATGTATCATGCTAACCTCCCAGGTGCTGGGACACTACCGGGACAGACGGGGTTCTGCTCTGTTTAGCCTCTGTCCTCAGGTTGGCATTTGGTATTTGCTGTCTGTGGAGAAAGAGCTGCAGGGGGTCTGCCTCATGACACTCAGACACCAGTAAGGGAAAGCTGTTCCATGTGGCCTCTGCCCCATACAGGCACCTCAGTCCAGTTCCACACCTCTGAGTCATAGCTTGGGGCACGCTGGACATCATATGCGTCAAACAAGATGGCCGAGGCAAAGGCCTGTCTTCTGAGCCCACTTCTGAGCTAAGGGCGGCATATATGTCTAAAACTCAAAAACTGGTTCAAGGGGACCAGCAGTTAACATAATGGCTATGTCGCTGGACTCCCACGTAGTCAACTGCGGTTCGAGTCCTGGACCCAGTGGCTTAAAACTCACGCCGGGCGCGTGTGCGTGCGTGCCCAAGATCCCAAGAGGAGAATGGAGGAGAAGGGATTGTGGCGTGGCCATCCCCCCTGGGGGGTGATTTCTCGCTTCCTGTCTCTATGTCTCTCTTCTGTCTGGCGAGTGTACACACTCTATGGTGAAAACCTCTCAAAAAAAAAAAAAAACTGGTTAAAAAAAAACCCCAAAAAACCCAGACCGTCAAGTGGTGGCTGGATCCCACATGACTGACAGTGATTTGAGTCCTAGATCTGGCAGTTTAAAAAAATACACCTAATGCATGCATGTACCCCAAATCCTGAATGGAGAATGGAAGAGAAGGAATGGCCATGTGTCCATCCTCCTGGAAGGAGGGAAATGACTTCTCACTTTCCTTCTCCCTCTGTCTTTCTCTCTCTCTCTCTCTCTCTCTCTGGTGAGTGCACACACCATACACCAAGAAAAGGAAAAAGAAAGAAAGAAGAAAGAACAAGACAAAAGAAAGAAAGCAAGCAAAAGGAAAGGAGGAGAGGCAGAAATAAAGCCCAGCGTGTAATGTGTCAGACCAACACAGGGAATGGAAAGAAGTCCGTGTGGCAGAGGAAACTTGGAGGATGCTTCCTAAGGTACACAGAGGAAGTGGACTCTGCCAGGCGCTGTCGACCCCTTCATCCTCACACCAACTCCAGGAAGCAGGCATCTGTCTCCAGGTGTGGCTGATGAAACCGAGGCCAGTGAGGGCATGTGACCACCCAAGGACACACGTCTGACTGTGGCAGCGCGGAGATTGAAAGTCACTTCTGCCTGACTATAAGCCTATGCCGGTGAGCACTCCACCACTGGGCCCAGGAGAAGGTGGAGATCTAGGCAGCCTGGAAGGAGACAGGGAGGGGACTGCAAGGCTGGGAACCAAGCCTGGGACTAACGGTAGTGATGTGCTATCAGGGTGGTTTGCACCGGGAAAGAGGATTCAGGCTGAAGAGAGGAGTCATAGCATGAGCACCCCAGGAGACCAGGGTTGCTGTGGTGGCAGCAGCAGGTAGGGCGGCAGAGAGGAGGACTGGGTGTCTGGCGAGGGCGTGAGTTGGAAGGATCTCAGGAACCAAGTGGCAACTGTGGCTGTGAAAAGAGTGCGTCTGAGACCTCACACAATAAAATTCAGCAGGTTCAGTGACAGCGGGTGGGGGAGCGGGGAGAAGAATCAAAGACCTGGGCTAGGAGACCCGGCAGCTGGTGGGTGACAGTCCCACAGAAATGGGAAAATGCAGGAAAGCGTTGGCATGGCATGGAAGTCAGCAGGTATGGATTGGACGCACAGAGTTCAAGGTAGCTTGAACGGGGTGCAACATCTTGTGAACAATTCAAAATGTCATGGAAGAGCCCAGTGCATGGGCAGTTAGAGGTGTGACTGTGGGTCACCACAGGGAGGAGAGTGCTGAGACTGAGAATCAGCCCTCCAAGAAAGCAAGTGGCAAGGGGTTTGATTTCTAGGAACGGCACCAAGATCCTAAGTGACAGCGTAAGCTGTTACTAAATGAAATAGCCACCTTTCAAAAATGATCTGAAGAAAACCTAACATTTGAATTTGTAGATTATTCTTTACTCATCTCAGACAGGAGTCAGAATTCAATATTTCATCATACCAAATCATATAGCTGCAAAAGTCTGAAACAGAACTGTGACAGAGTTGGGGGGAGGGAGTTCTTGCTTCTACTGCCTCATGGTCTGGTGTGTTCTGAATGGATGAGAGCAAACACATTGGGAAGAATACAATATAGCATGGGCTCTTATCTCATTCTGCAAGTTTCTATGGAGTCCCTCTTTGGTGCAAAGTTCATTTATTTTTAAAAAAATATGAATTGTAGATCTTTTGTGCTATAGTTTTAATATCTACCCTCAAAAATTCAGATATAGCCAATGTGATGGTATTAAGAGGAGAGACCTTTAGGCGGTGATTAGGCTATGAAGGCTCCTCCCTCATGAATGAGATTAAGCCCTTATACAAGAACTTCACAGAGCACTGGGTTCACTTGCCTTCTGCCTTTAAGGACATAGGAGGAGGCCCTTACCAGAACAAATGCCAGCACCTTGATCCTGGGCTTCCTGGCCTCCAGAACTGTGAGAAATACGTTACTATTCTTTATAAATTACTCAGTCTTTAGTATTCTGTTACAGCACCATAAATGAACTAAGACTATGGAATTAATTTTGGCATTAGCCAGTTGAAGACTGGATGCACACAAACATTGAACATGTAAACACATAAAGAACATGTAAAGCTGGGAACATTGATCCCTCTGTTGAAGCTGGGAACTCTTCATCTTTGTAAGAGTGAAATGTAGACTTGCTAGATATAACAAGCAGAAAATACAATTGGCAAGTTAAGATTTCACTAATTTTGTCATCATAAAAGTGGTCTAAATTTTGTTTTACCGGTAACATGGAATACTACAAACAATTACACAAACACCATTCTAATCAATGAAAGTTAGTTATTGCTAATATAGTCCTCTTTAAAATACCTGTATTTGTAAACATGACTTGCAGTCATCCTTAGGGTCAAAACAATAGAATCAGACTGTCCCTCAGTGTTGGGACTGGGTTCAGCTCCACTCAGCTTATGGGGTCTGTGACGGCTGGGATGGAACCCGGGGGTCGTCAGTGGTTTTGTCGGCTGGGTGGGCAGAACCATTGTGTTCAATGGAGGGCCGAGCTTTGCTCTGCTCATGGGCAAGACGTAACACTCTCCCCAGCAGAGAGCAATAGAACGGGTAACGAGGGAATGCAGCTTTGAGTGTAGCAGTTAGAGACTAATTTCGATGAGTTCATTCGATAAAAGCCTTAGTAAAAACCCTGCCAGATGATCAAATCTAAAGGGGCAGGGAACCATGGGAGCATTTTCCAGAGTGAAACAATTTAGTCAAACAGCCTCCAGGGAAGACAACTCTGGTTTGGAGCTTTTCTAGACCAAAGTGAGAACTGTCCATGCAAGTGGACCTAGAAGGGAGGTTGGTCACAGAGAGAGAGAAGGGGAGTGTAATCGTCTAGCTTATCATTCCTAAGGCTTTCGTGACCGACTTAATTTTTTTGAAAGTTTATTTCTTTTCTTTGTGAGCAAGAGACAGACAGAGGGAGAGAGGCAGAGACAGGCAGTACCTTGAAGAAAGTCTGTAAGCCATAATCCCCCCCCCCCCCGTTTCGGCCATCCCTGGATCACTGGCACACATGTGGCTGGCATGTTAAAGGGGTCTCTGTGTGCAAATCCGGAACCTTCCCATGTAGGCAAGCTTGCAGAGTGCTGTGATTTGCTGCCGCACCACTGTCTGGCACCATCGTGGCCAGTGTAAATAGAACGTTAAGACATTATCCTGCAGCCCCTGGGGTTTCTCTCTACCATGCTGTTGGAGAAGACTAGTTGGACAAAGATGACTTGATGCATTTGGGGAGACTTTGGGGTTTGCTTAAGGCAACACTTGAAACCATGTCATGCTCATACCAAGAGAAGAGTTGAAGCTGTAGAAGACTGAGATAGAAAATCCAGCTCTGACAGCTTTACAAAGGCAGGTGGAATGCTCTCGATGGTGGTGATAGGCAATGGGGATATGGGGGGGGGGGTCTTTGGGGCCACAGGTTGGCTCTGATCGTGTCTGAAACCAGGACCTCCTGGCAGTTTAAGGTGGAGCTTTGCTGAGAATGAAGACCTTGTGTTCTGTCGTAATCATCCCAGTTGACCAGATGGAGGCCTGACCCACTCAGGGGACATATGGGGAGCTCTACAGTGTCCCCAGGAATGCTGGATGACTTGTCATTTCTATCCATTATAACCAGCCTTCTCCTCCACACCAGAAGTGCCTGGAGGGACCAGCAGATGGTGTACTGGTTATGTTGCTGGACTCCCATGTAGTCAACCGTGGTTCGAATCCTGGACCCGGTGGCTTAAAACTCACACCAGGTGTATGTACAGGTGTGCCCAAAGTCCTGGAAGAATGAAGAAGGGACTGTGGCATGTTCATAACTCCTGGGGGGTGATTTCTCACTTTCTGTCACTCTGTCTCTCTGGTGAGAGCACACGCCCTATAGCAAAAATCTCCCTCAAAACAAACAAAAAAAGTGCCTAGAATCTGAGGGTAGGCATTGATGTCCTGTTTCTTCTCTTCCAGTTGCATTAGAGCAGTTCTCCCTGGCGGTGAGGCGCTGCCCTGAACAGGAGGACCGGGCTTTGCTAATGAAGGTAGGTCATCAGATAAGATGCTTATTTCCTAAAGACCGTAGCATTTTTATTGGCCTGAGGAGAGTTTCATTTTTACAAGTGGGAGTAAATTTATCATCCCTGAATTTCGTGCTCCTCAGGGATAGACTTGTCATCTGCGGGTAGGAGGACTGCTGGTTAATGAGCACAACCGCTGTCCGGGGAGCGCAGGAAGTGACAGGAGAGTGGGTGTCAACTGCTAGCGGGGAACCTACTTAATTCTCCAGAGGGCTCCGCTGGTTCTATTTAAACTGATCTGACAGAGTCTTGATTCTTTTAGCAAATTTATGAGGCTTGGCCAAATTCCATGTCTCCCACCGTACTTTTTAATTAAGACAAAGGATTCTGTACGTCCTGAGTCTGCCGCAGCCTCGCTTTCGTCACCATAGGGAATGCTGCACAAATTAGGCTGTGCGTAGTAACCGCTGCAACGGGCCCCTCGTGTCACGGGTCCCTTGCCCTTGAGTGGAAGATGAACTTTTCTTCTCGGTAACAATTGTTCTGCTTCTTTCCACACGGCACATGCCGAGCTGTGGTATAACCCGTCGGGTCATCAGAAAAGCTACGATGCATTTTTCCATGTTTTTCTATGCAGAAATGCATCGTGACTTTGCAGATGACCCAATACATTTCGGTTGCACATGTAGGTGAGCGAAAAAAGTGGGAAAACTTGGCAGGCAGCCCGCATGAATGTAACAAGTGCCTGGTCTTGGAAGGCTGAAAGCAGTAGGTAGCAGCAGATCACAGAGGCGCACACTCGCACACACTCACACACACTCCCATCGCTAGGACCCGTGTTTCCGCCCAGGCACTGTACTTACCCTGACCTGCAGGTATGTGCAGTTCCATGATGTCACCTGAATTCCGTACCATCAGGAAACCACAGGTGTCAGGAATTGCATTTTTTACCTCATCACCGGTTTCTTTACCAGGTGTCCTCTGACTTTAGAAATGAGTGGAAAAAGAAAAAAAAGAGGGCATCACTGTCAGGGATTTTCAACTCATTTGCTTAAGATGTGATATTTTTGGCCTGCCTTTTTTTTTTTTTTAAGCTTTCAGTGATGTCAGTTTTATAGTTAAGAAGTGCTGCTGACACCAAGACTTGGGTCCATCTGGGAGCCCTGACGGGCCGGCGTCCTTGGCGGGTAACTGGCCTGGAGGGTGCCCACCCAGCCACATGAGCTTTTCCTGCTTTCTGAGTTCTCTTCACATGGCTGTCCGTGCCCTGCTCTGGGTCTCTCCTGGGTGCAGGCTGGCTTTTGGTGCCCTTGAAGCAGCCCTTGGGCCCCAGAGACTCACCTCTTCACCCCCTCCACCCTACCACTGTTCAAGGTGATGCTAAAAAAAATCAAACAAAACAAAAGTTTTTTTGTTTGCTTTTACTTCCAAAGTTTATTTGCTTATTTCTTAGAGAAGGAGAAAGAGAAGCACCCCCAATGAGGGCTTTACCCCAGTCCCAGCTGGTGCAGATCATGGACATACGTGTGAGCCTGGCATGCTCAGGGAGGTTCTGGGATCTGAACCCAGGACCTTCCCTAGGGGGTCCAGTTGCCCTGTCGCTGCACCAGCACCCGACCCCTTTTGGCTCTTTTCCCCATTTTGGCTGACATGTTTTCCTGCTGCCTGCTACTTTTTGCTTCTCATGTCCATCTCCTACTATCCATCTCTCCCCATTTTCAGAAGATGAGACTCCTGTCCCTCACCAGGTACTATAGTGACCCCATCTAGATGGGACGTGGGCACCCCAAAGGTGGTGTGGGGTGAAGAGGAACACACCTCCAATTCTGCTTCCTGCTGTCCTCATGGCTTATACAATTTGGGATACCATAGCGCCTTTCCGAGATTAAAAGAATAATAATTTAAATATATTATTATTATTATTTTAATCTGCTATAGGGCATGTGTGCTTACCAGAGAGAGACAGAGAGAAAGTGAGAAAGCAAGCTGCCAGGTCTGGGACTAGAACTGCGGTCGGCCAGGTGAGAGTCCAGCACCTCAACCACCATGCCACCTGCTGGCCCCCTCTCCTGAGTTTTTCATGTCTAGAGTGGCGGGGGGAAGAAACGTTGCCCACACCCCCCTCATAGTTTTGCGTCCTCGCTGACTCTCATACTGTCCTGGGTTAGCTTTCCTAGCGTTTGCTTAGAAACGAACAGTCTGGGGTTGGGAGGAAGATCAGCCTGGCCCTGTGGAGTCCTGGAATGTGTATGATCTCCAGGGACAGCCAGGATGTTCTGTCTTCCCTGTCGGTTTCTGCAGACTGTGCGACCACAGCGACCAAGGATGGCCTCTGTAGGTGCTCTCTCAATTCTTGGAAACATTTGAACAGGCTTCATCAAAGGAGTTTCACTGAACCAAAACGTGTGCTCAGCTCATGTATACCGAAACTGTTAGGATTTTTATTTCAGAAGGCTGAGGTTTTCTAATGTCACATGTCAGAGGGCACCGCGTGGGTGTGGCGAAGGTGTGCAGGATTTCTGTGGACGTCGAGTGAGAGAGCTTACTCAGGTCGCTTTGGCCACAGTCAGCCTGCAGGTGGTGGTTTCTCTGGGAGCTGTTCCCCTGGCAGATTACCTGCAATAAATGCAGTGATCCACTGAACCGCATGAAAACGTACAGGGGGCCAAATACACAGACCTGAACCAAAAGTGATATTTTTAAAAATTATATTTTGTGTCCATACTGTTCCATCCTTACACGGTCACAGGACATCGAGACCCAAGGACAAACACTTCATTCTAGACTGTGCAGGAGCTCAGTACGCGGTGCTCCGAGTCGGAGCAGGAGAGGAGTACACTGCTCAGTGTGGGTGGAGCCGAAGCCAGCTTCCCCTAGCAAGACAGGCACAGCGAGGCTCTGGACAGGGCAGAGCCAGAGCCTTCCCCTGGGGACTGGGTAGAGCAAGAGAATGACAAGTCACTAGTCACCATGACACAGCTAGTTAGTAGGTGGTAAAACTGGGACAGAGTGCCAGGGTCTATGGACCACTGGGCTGGGCTTCTTCCTGGTACATCCACTCAGTGGAGCAAATGGCCAGAGAAATCACCACCCCGTCCCTCCACCACGAGAGCACACAGAGGTGACACTGCCGTGGAACCACGAGGTGCTCTGTTGTGGCTGGCCCACGGAACCACGCTGTGGCTTGTTCATCACCCCCCGTGCTGTGAGACGGGGAGAGGCAGCTTTCCCATGACTTGGTTAGCCATCCTCCCAGCAGAGGTCAAGGCCGTCACTGACTGAACAGTTTCCTGCCTCTCTATCCCGATGAAGGGCCTGGAAAAAGGTGCTGGGGGGTAAGACAGGGTGTTAGGGCGACCTTGCAGTGAGATTTTGCTACTCTTGGAATCAGAAAAAGCTTTTGATCCCTTAAATGACTTGGCCGATTTTTTTTCATTGCCAGAGGGTATGTGTACTCGCTAGAGAGAGACAGAGAGACAGAGGGGGCAGAGAGAGAAAGCACCCCTCAACAGGGTGTGGTCGTGCTGCAATCCCCTCTCCTCCACTTCTCCATCATGTCAGGATGTGGGGCATGCATGCACACACACCCAAGATCCGAGCTGCTGAGGTTGGGATCTGAACTGCAGTCAGCCATATGGGAGCCAGCTCTCCTAACCAATCAGCTATGGGGCTGGCCTTTGGCCCTACTAATGTTTTAAAAATTTATTTGTTTAGTCCTTCTGGGGGGGACCACCAACAGAGTCTTCATGCTGCGAGCCACCCCCCAGCCTCAAACCCAGAAAAGGGCACCTGAGCCTGATCCCTTGGGGTCCAGTTTCTGTCCCCACTCTGCCAGAAACTAGTGTGCCACCTCGGGCAGGTCAATTTTATCTTCTTTAGCCTAGTGTCCTCTTCTGGTCAAGCAGAAGGTAACTCAGAGGACCCCAAAGACCTTTCCAACATCCACACTGAGGCAATGCATGACGACCTTGCCGACAGCCCCAGGCCTTGACGTGCTTTAGTGGAGCCCTCGGCCCTCCACCACCTCTCTCCTTGGGTGCTGCCAGATCAACCTTCTTGGGACCCCACATCCCACAGGTCACTCTCAGATTTGCTTCCAACCCTAACTTCCTCTCTCCTTACCCAAACCTGCACTTTCCTGACACCACTAAAGGTTTAGCTTGGGTGACGGGCACAAACAATGTCTGTCCCAGACAAACCAGGGCACGTGGCCAGCCTTCATAGGAACAAAGGTCAAAAATGGCTCTCCCTAGCCTGCCAGGCTTCTCTCTCAGGGATTGGTCTGAACTCTACTGCCCTCACTCCCACCAGATTGGCCCCTCTTGGAGGTTATTCCCTCTCTTTAGGATGGAAACTGGCAAAGGACAGATCTCTTGGTGCGATCTGCATTTGGACGGTCATTTTCTATACTGAGGACATGATCACCCCTCCTTGTTCTGTTATCACATACCTGGAGCTGCTGCTTCCAATATGGGTGGAGGACAGCCCCAGCCAGGGTCTTCACCGGGACTAAAACTTGCCAGGGCTGTCACCTGCTGGGACCCACTGCCCTCCTGGACAAGCCGGAAAAGTGAGTAGGATGCTCTAGGGAAAGTAGCCCTTTGAGACCACAGGCTTCTGTGAACTGAAAGCACGACTTCCCCACTCCAGTGACACTGAGCAAATACTAGAATGTTCTGTTCACTGCAGCCCCTCTGCAGGCCCAGCATGGCCACCCTGCCCAGGCCTCTGGCTAGAGACACCATGGAAAGGTTGACACAGGCCTTTCTGTAGGAGGAATCTGATACCCTACCACATTTACAGCTGAAAACAGTAACAAAACCCAAACTGCCTACTCAAGGAGAAGTAAACAAGCCAGCCGCTGGGCTCCTGCACAGCACAGCCTTGACTCTCTACCCAGTGACAGCACGTCAGGCGGCCACACACCAGGGAGAGCGGATCCCACCTGTCCTCCGTGGAGGCTGAGTGGGGAGGCCTCTCTCGTGATGAGACAGATGACGCTCTGGTCTGAGAAGACACACAGA